CTCTCTCTCTCTCTCTCTCTCTCTCTCTCTCTCTCTCTCTCTCTCTCTCTGACTGTGTCCATTGTCTCTGATTTTGGTAGCTGAAGAGCAACTCCAATGAGTCCATCACTCCAAGCTAGCCTGACAGTTACACAGCAAGCACCCTTCCAGTGCCCCCCAGATGTATCTTGTCGAATGTAAAGTTCACATAAACCAGCCACTAGAGATATTTCGGCTAAAGAAAAAGAAGAAGAGGGAGGGTGAGGGGGCAATGCTGTCTCCTTCCCCAGTAATAAACACTCTGTAATCTCACATTTGCAGGTGGATGAGGGGTCAACATGGAACTTTCCAAGCACAGTTTCTCTCCAAATTCCCCTTAGAAATGTAAGCCTGCTTCCTTGGGCAAGACTCCACCTCTCCTTCAAACATGATATATTGTTTACAAAGAAGAGGAGGGTGGCACTTTTAAGTCAGAGATACATATGTTTCCAGTGTTGAAGGCTGCCAGGCGCCTGACAGCCTATTATACTGTCTTCAGAACCCACAAAGCATAAAGGACTACATAGGGCCTTGAGGTAGCGACACACTAAGTGGCCCGCAGATCCCATGCGGTCCAGAACCCTCTTGCCAGATGCAGTTTGACACATCTGCTATTCAAAGTGTGTCATGGCAATTATTCTGCCAAGATCCCTGCTAACCCCAAACAAAGCTGATGTGACACCAGGACTTCAAGATCTAAAATCATTGCCAGCAAAGCTGCCAGAACCAAACATAAACCCCACTCCTAGAATGTTCCATTGTCTTTGCCAACCAACCCGAGAGATGCTCTCCTAAGGAAGTGAAAGGCTCCATAGGAGGAGCCTGACTCTGCCTGTCAGGCCCCCTTGGCTCTTTCTCACAATGGAAGCATGGTGGCAGGGACCTAAGAGGTGATGTGCCCACATGTGGCACCTCACCAGGACCCTGCACACCCTCTTACAGGAAATGGTTTCTAATCCAGCTTCTACACTCTTGACGATCTTTTGCACATGCTTACTCAGCTCTCATTTAAGTTTGAACTACTCATCAAAAGTTGGTAGGTTTTACAAAGAAATCTTTTACTTCATTCATAAGAAGCCACCTTCGGGGAGATAGCTCCGAGGCATGAGCCACCTTCAAAGGGGAGGTCCTGCCACATTTGCACACTCTGAGACAGATGTAAAATACAAGTGGTTTTAGCTGATCAGTAACCTCAATTGCTGTCCTGTGCCAGTGGCTCCCGAGAGTGGTGTCAGCAGCTCTCATCATGAACATTACCAGGAACTTGGGAGGAATGCAGAAAAGGGGGCCGCCATCTGCATGTCACCTGCTTTCTGGTGACCCTGAGGGGTGGAAAGGGCACCCCTGTCCCTGGTGCCTAAGCCTGCCTCTACCCTCTCCTGCCCGAGCTTCCCCTCCCCCCCCCGCCATGCTTTGGGCCAGGAGCACAGGGCAGTAGCCCAGGGATACAAGTCAGCCCCTATGTGAAAGTGAGTCACAGTGGGTTTAAGTGGATGGAAGGAAAGAATTCATGTGTACGGCTCCCAGAGCCAAATATTAAATGAATTTATTCTGTAGAGAAAGCTAAGCAGTGTGAAATAAAATGGTAAGATGACTAGGCCAAGCTGGTGAAAACTACAAAATACTATGTATTTTAAATGTAATTTACTAGTATTACTTTCACTGGTTTTCTTTTCCTTTCTTTTTTGGTGCTAGGAATCAAACTCAGGGCCTTGTGCTTGCCAGGCAGGTGCTGTGCTGTTGAGCTATAACCCCAGCCTCTACTTTCATTTTTATATAGTAACCTATATTAAATTTTTATCATTAATTAAGTTTATTGGTACAGTTTAGATACATAATGATCATGTTCATCATATGAAACCTATAGCTATGCATGACATACCCCAATCTGCATTGGATTCATTAAGTATTGCCAAGAGCTTGTCCCCAAAAATATTTGTAGTAGCTTTAAGGAAGAGGTACACATTATGTGCAATCTACATATTCATTGCTTATGTAAATTTAGTCATCCATGGTACTCCAGCTTCAAACCCTAGCCTCACCCCCAAAATATTCCTGTGACCATCAGCATTTACTCCTCCGTCATGTCTGGGCATTCACATCTCTGAATAAAACTAGGAATGAAGTATTTACCTCACTGCATTTCTGTAAAGATTAAGCAAGGTCATGAATGTAAATCTTGGCATGAGGCCTAATTCATCAAAAATTCCTATTAACTCAGACCTTTTCAGGTGGGTTTAATAACAGCATGTAAACTTTCTCCCCTTCTAGAAATTTACTTTCTATTTTTGCTGTGCAAACACTAAAGTTTATTATTAATGTCACCCCATTATCACAAATCCTCAGTAACAGGGTAGACAAATGAGCTGAAAATGAAATTACAACACTAGCAAAAAGTATTGGGTAATTCTGGGGTACGAGTTCCTGAGCGGAACATAGCCTTGGGAACCTCACGATCTGATTGGTCTCTGTGCTTGGGCAAAGCTTTTCTCTCCAAGGGCCTTGCAGATGACAAGCATCTGCCAGCAGCTTCCTGGCTCCCTGCCTTTGTGAGACGTGGGGAGTGAACTCTTAAGAGGCCCCGTTATGAGTTGAGCAGTGAAAATGTTGCTACCAATCAGAACTACAAGAGCACCCCCACCGCCCCAAAAAGTGCTCTCAGGCAGTTCCTAGGTGGAAATATAATTTTAAAACCCCGACATCAGGAGGTATTATTAATAAAGTTCCACATGTGATGATAATACCAGTTCAAGACCTATATCTGTCATAAAAGAAACAAACTACTGAGATCAAAATTGCTGAAGATTACAACCTAGTATATAAAAACTATTTATAGCTGGGCAGAGTGACACACACCTATAATCCCAGTACTTGGTGGGGGGTGAGGTGTGGGTGCGCTGAGGCAGGAAGACTGCCATGATTTTGAAGCCAGCCTGGACTACAGAGGGAGACTCTATCTCAAAAAAAAAAAAAAAAAAAAAAAAAAAAAAAACCTAGGGCTGGGGAGATAGATCAGCAGTCTAATCCCCTGCCCAGCGAGTACAAGGACCCGGGTTCAATGCCTGATACCATGTGCTGTGCCAGCCCCAGAACCCCAGACACACCAACCATGCTGGCTACCAAAACCAGCCATGGTGGCGCATGCCTGTAATCTCAGTGCCAGGGAGGCTGAGACAGGAGGATCACTATGAGTCCGAGCTGCATAGTGTGACCCTGTTCTAAGTAAATAAATAAATATTTTTAATTAATTTATTGAGAAAGAAATAGCAATAATTTTTTAATTAAAAACAAAACTAGCAGAAGGTCTGCCACCATGTAAAGATGGACAACCGGAGCTCAATGAGTGCAGGATAAGCACTGGTCACCGAGATCCCATTGCTCGTAAGATACTGATGTTGTTCCTGACCGGCCCCTGTGCTCTTGCTGTTTGCTGACGCGGGCTCCTTCTTTGCAGCTGCCATGTGAAGACCAGATCATCCTCCTCAAAGGCTGCTGCATGGAGATCATGTCCCTTCGGGCTGCTGTGCGCTATGACCCAGAAAGTGAGACTTTAACCTTGAATGGGGAAATGGCAGTGACTCGGGGCCAACTGAAAAATGGGGGTCTTGGGGTTGTGTCAGATGCCATCTTTGACCTGGGCATGTCTCTGTCGTCTTTCAACCTGGATGACACAGAAGTAGCCCTGCTTCAGGCTGTCCTGCTAATGTCTTCAGGTGAGTGGGCCTTGACTCAGTATGGGTGTGAAAGGAGCTCTTGGTTGTCTGGCGCTAATTCAAGTCACTTGATGAGCTTTCGATCTCCCTTTAGCTTTACCATCCTTCACTGAGGGAAAAAGGGGCTCTCCCGTGGCCTGGCAACTGACAAGCGCAGGCTTCTGATGCTTTCCGTGATTTCCCAGAGTAGTGGGAAGAAACCAGAGGAGAGGTCTGCAAGACCCTGTGGAGTGATCCACTTTCGCTAGGAACTACTCAGCCCATTTCAAAGTATTTAAGCAACCTGCTCCTCCTGCTTTTATGTATATAAAGAGACGCATGGGGCTGACCACACCTTTCTGCTAAGTGATGTGTGCAGCCATGTGTGAGCACTAGAATCTGCTCATGGTGTGGCTCCAGCTTGAACTTTGGATTTCTATTGCTGTGTAGCACAACAACGCCAACACTGACAGGCTTAAGACAGTCAAGGATTCAGGTGGCTGAGACATGACACAACTGCAGACCTCTGTTTGTGGCCTTCCCTCATGCAGGGTACTTAGACTTCTTACAGGGCTGTTGGACTCCAAGAAAGACAGTCCCAAGCCCACAAAAACAGATGTTACAAGTCCTATTCTGTAGTTCATGCACTATCATAGCAGCCCTAGGACCAGCCCTGACCCAACAATCCAGCTCTGGGAGATGAAAGAACTATAATAGCAAAGAATGTACAGCCCTTGGGAACCCACCCCGGCTCGCTCTCAGAACCTCTGGCTCCTATGAGTGAGAGGAGCCGACAGTGCTGGTGGTCCTCGCCAGAGATCACTAGCCTTTGAGCAGACAGCGGTTTCAGAGCCAGCCTCTGCATTTCAGAGCACCTTGACGTTAGCTGGGCTCCAGCACACATCTGGAACTCCCTGCTTAGCTTATCCACACCTACCTCTGTGCTGTTTATCTTTTGAAGACAGAGCTGTATCTAATTGTACACCTAGCACCTGAGTTTTTGTTCAGTAGAATTCACAATTGTACTGGATGAACAGCTGAATATGTGGGTAAAACATCCATCACAAGTACATTGAGAATCCTTCGTGCAGTTGATGGTTTCTACTTAACGCAATAGAATTCCGTCTTTATTTTTAGGTTGACTTGGAAGTTTACTTCTTACAGGAAGTTCAGATGTGTCAGAATTTTGAAAAGGGAATTATTTTTATTATGGAGAATTTCAAATATAGCTGCAATAACATAATAAGCCCTCCACAGACTGTGGCAGACAGATTGTCAGAGCCCCCCTTACACTGCTGGGTGACCCCCCTTCCCCTGATGCATTTATAGAACTTGGGATTTGCTCTTAACCTGTAGCATCCAGGAACTCTGATGCCACGTGTGGTGACTGACTGGGTTATAAGAGTCTTGCTAGCAGGCTCGCTGCTCTGACTCATCGTTCTGGCTCCTCGAGGCAGTGGCCACATGAGGAAAGCCCACGTGACCAGAAAGCACAGCGGCCTGCTGTGCAGCGGGGAGCATCACGCCCTCAGCCCTTCAGGGGACCTCGCAGTCCTTGAGCAAGGAAGGTGCGGAGGCTGTCTTAAGACCCCCTGCAAGACTCAGCCTTTCTGTGCCTCTGTGACCTTTAAAATAAAAGAACTGAGCGACATACGTGGGCGTTATATTCATGGAAGTACTCAAGGTAAATTTTCAGCCAAGATTTTAATGGAAAAAAAAAATAACAGTTTTAAGTAACACAAAATCACACAGAGACCCATTTCTTCCGCAGTTTCCTTCTGGCCGCGTCTGCTAGATGCAGCACGCCGAGAGCTGGTGTGGCAGAAGTCCGACTTCAGCTCCTCGCTACACTCACCACACGCGCTTGTGAGCAGCGACACTAGCGATCCTAGGTTCCAAGGCCTTGCACGAGCCTTCTGTTGTCATGAAAGGGCTTTTATTGCCTCATAAGGGTTTTGTCCTGCGTCTATTTTTGTGATTATCTTCTGTTTATGACAAATGAGTTTCTGTTCCCACATAATGCTAGCCTGTCATGAGTCGGAGGGTTAAGCAAATGGTCTAAGTGAGGTGAGCAGGAGGTAACAGCAAGCAGGAGCACCTGCCAAAATGGCTCTTCTCAAGTCTGCTTTGGTGAGGCTGTCGCTGCCCGACAAGCATGGGACATATTTTATAATTTTAGTAATGTTTGTCCTTTTCGATGATGCTGTGAGGTCCAGAAAAAAAACCTAAGATGTTCTACAGCTGGCACATGAAATCTGCGTATCACAGCTCCATGCCCCAATTCCTCCTCAGCCTTGTCTGCTAAGCTCCAGCATATATCCACCATGTTGTTTGCACAGAGAGCCTTGCAAGGGTGTCATTGCAGCTAAATCTTGGGAACAACCCAGATGCCCATCAACTGAGGAACTGATTTAATATAATTTAATATAATGTAGTACTGCTCAGCCATAAAGAAGGATAAAATGGAGTCTTGAAGAGGTAAATGGATACAACTCGAGGCCATATTCATAAGTGAAATAAATAAGACTCATATGTGTGCACATCACATTGTCTCACTAGTGTGGGAAGATAAGCAAGCAAATAAGGTGCAAGATGTAAAACCGACATTGTGAATTGGGAAGAGACTGTTCAAAAGAAAAGACAAACTGGGGTGGTAGAAAGGGGAAAGGAAGACAGGGGGAAAAGAGAGAACATATTAACACAAGATAGTCAATATAGACAGCTAACTTCTCTTAGTCCATTAAAAAGAAAGTTCTATCCTAATATTATATAAACAGGGGCTGGGGAGATAGCTCAGCAGTCTAAGCGCCTGCCTGGCAAGTGTAAGGTCCCAAGTTCAATCCTGATGATACAAAAAAAAAATTTCTTAAAAAAATATATCATGCTTATATCTTCTACTCTGAATAACTACTAGAAAGACAATAACATACACTGTATCTATTGTAACTGCCCTACTAACCTGTTTTGAAACTGGGTTTCATTGTTATGTTCATCTTTTTTTTTTTTCTTTAAAAGAGTGCTATTGCTGGCTTCCATGACCCTGCAGAGATAGAGAGCAAATGACATTTCTCTGAGAACTTCTGCCTTTAGGGTTTAAAAAAAAAAAAAAGTCTTGTTTTTAACATGTTTCCCTCTCTGTAACTTTTTAGAATGAGTTGAATGTCATAAGAGCATTTCTTTCTATATTTTTATATGACCATATTAATTCTATTTCTCATCAAAGGATAGTGTTTTTGATGCCTCAAAACCCAAGCTATGTTTTCTCTTTGAGGAGAGACAGCCAAAGTACTATTATATTGATTTTCTTCTTGAATCAAAAGTTGAGGGCCGGCCAGATAGCTCAGTGGACTAAAGCACTTGCTTTGGCAGAGCACAGCGACCGGGATTTGATCCCGGGCATGCCATGCTGGCCCTGCCTGGGGCCTGCTGAGAAGGCGATTGAGACTGGGTGTGGTGGCATGCCTGTAATCCCAGCACTTGGGATGCTGAAAACAGGAGGATCACTACGAGTCTGATCTCTGTAGTGAGACCCTATACACCCTGTAGACCCTGTCCTGAATTCATTAAAAAAAATGTTGTAGAATCTTGGAGATAATTTTTTGTTTGTTTTTAAGTTAGTGTCTCACTATGGAGTTCAGCCTGGCCTCAAACTCACAGCAATCCTCCTTCCTCAGCTCTTGAGTGCTGGCATTACAGGCTTGTGCCACCATGGCTGGCTGAAAAAACTTCTCACACACTCAAAAAGAAAGGACAGGAGAGGGAGACGGAGAGAATAAGCAGATCCACAGAGCAACATATGAAAGAAATGAAATGAAAATGCACAGCTTGTCATTTGAGCCAAAGAGAGGGTTCCAGAACCCAGGTGGTTTGTTTAGACTTAGAGTCATGCATGAGCTTTAGCCTTGTTCCTTCCTTTCAGAGGAAGCAAAACTCGGGAGTGACAGGTCTCTGGGTACAGATGTACCCTGCATGAGTTGCCCGCCTCCTCCTGGCCCAAAATACCTGACAGTCAAAACCTTAGAAGAAGAATGCTTTCCTCTGGCTCACATTTCAGAAGTTGTCCTCCATGGCTGGCAGTGTGGTGGAAGAGCCTGGGCGGAGGTGAGCCGCTCACTTCAGGGCAGCTGGGAAGTAGGAGAGGCAGGAAACCAAGAGGAGGGTGCACCTTTGCAGGCCATGGCCTCAGTGCCAGCTACGGTGCCCATGACACAGTCTCCCTCCAGAATCCCCACCTACACATGTGTGAGGCTCTTGGGAGACATCTAGAGATAAACCACAGCCGCCCCAAAGCACAAGAGGTGTAACAGGCAATTCAGATATGCCAAAAAGAAACCAAAAAGGACTTCCTTTAAGGGAAGGGGAAAAATACATGAAGTATGTTGAGAGGGAGAGAAAGCACATTCACATAGCCTTGATTGAAGTATATTGGTATAATTGTCCCCTATCATTATTACTGCTAATCTGTTACTATGCCTGATTTGTAGATTTAACTTCTTCAGAGGTATGTGTGCATGTCCGCAGGTTCTGTATCTGCAGACTCAACCAACCTCAGATTGAAAATATTGGGGGGGGGCAAAGTATCTGTACTGAACACACTTTTTTTCTGGTTATTAACCCCCAAGCAATAGAGTATAACAACTATTTACATAGCATCAGGTATTATAATCTCAGGCAAATGAGGACTCCGGGCAGATGTGCCTGCCTGTGTGAACACCATGGCATTTTGTTAGGAAGAACTTGAGCATCCTCTGACCTCTGTCTCTGCAGGGGTCTGCAGTCTTCCCCATGGACAGGGCAACTGTGGCTGCAAGGTTCGGTGCTACCTGTAATTCTGGCTGCTCTTAGATCCAGGGGAGGTGCTGCAGCATATCCAGCATGGATAGGCAGGGACCTCAGAATAAAGGAGAGGAGCCAGTGTGTCACTGAAGCCCAGAGAACAACTTAGTTAGACACTTAGTTAGAAACTGCGTTTCTTTGTCTCCAAGGAACTCCCTTCCTGGACACATTCCATCCCCCCACCACCGCTGCAAAAAAAAAAAGAAAGAAAAAAAGAGACATGATGTCCTGGTCTCTTCTTGTATTTGTCCTTCTCCGTGTATTTGTGTTTGTCCTCTCCTGTCCTCTTCTCTCCCCTCCTCTCCTCTGCTCTCCTCCTCTCCCCCTTCTCCTCCCCCCTCCTCTCTTCCCTCTCCTCCCATCCCCTCCCCTCCCTTCCCTCTCCTTCCCTTTCCCACCGCTCCCCTCCCCTCTCCTTTCCTCTCCCTTTCTCTCCCTGGCAGAGGAACCTCATTATGTTTTCCCTTATCTGCTGTGATCCTGGGAAGGGGGCATTCCCTGACACATCTATGGCTTTGATTTAGGTAACCTACAAACATCTAACTTGTCAAATCACTGCCACTCCCCTCCTTGTCCCTTGGTCCCAGGGACCCCAGAATTCACACATAGGCTTGTTCTTTCCTAGGAGATGAAAAGACCCCACCCATCTGCCTGCATCCCACTGAAGGACCGGATTGGGCCAGGCAAGCATTCTCCTTTCCACCTCCTAATTAACCTTCATCTTCTTCCTTTCCCTCAGATCGCCCAGGGCTCGCCTGTGTTGAGAGAATAGAGAAATACCAAGACAGTTTCCTGTTGGCTTTTGAACACTATATCAATTACCGAAAACATCACGTGACACACTTTTGGCCAAAACTCCTGATGAAGGTGACGGATCTGAGGATGATCGGAGCCTGCCACGCCAGCCGCTTCCTGCACATGAAGGTGGAATGCCCCACAGAACTCTTCCCCCCTTTGTTCTTGGAAGTGTTCGAGGATTAGACTGACTGGATTCATTCTCGTAATTCCTACAGCACTACGGGGTGTCATTTCATTCCATTGCCTAGCTCTTTCGAGTCTGTTTGTTTCTTTGTCTCTGTGTTGGGAGGGCTTGTTTGGGGGTAAAGGGAGGTGTCCTTGGCAAAGACATGGATGAAATTGCCCCTTGAATGTGGGTACTTGTAGCTGTTGCATTGTGTCCCCCAGTCCTTTGATGTGAAAGCTTTGAAGGTTTTACAGTTGTGGAGGTAGAGAGAGAGAGAGAGAGAGAGAGAGAGAGAGAGAGAGAGAGAGAGAGAGTCATTATTTCACCAGCATCAACCCATCACCAGCTCCACCTGTCCCTGGTCAAGTCTCCAGCCAGCCACATGGCACATAGAAGACTAAGGAAAAGCCTTAAAACCGGATAATATGACCGTCTTGATCCAGTCTCATAGTCTCATTCTTTTGGGGGCTCCAGTTAGCAAAGCACAGACTACCGTTGGCCACATGCAATTTTTGAGCTTTTAGGGAAACATTTGAACACATTTCCATTTACCTATCTGTTTTTAGCCCTTATTCTCTCCTAGCAGGTTCCCTTGGAATGTGCAGGAATATTTATGTCCTAACAAATCAGTCAGCCATTCTATATCATCTTGTGACCTTTTGATTTAATTCTAGTATTAACAAGGGCGTGACTCAAAGACATGCAGGTGTCTGACCGATTGAGGCCACAAGAAAAATAATTTTCTTGAGTCACCCCAAAGAGATTAAGAAGATTCACCAATGTTAGTGACTCTGCAGTTTCCAAAAATTCAGATAGTATTACCACGAGATGAAAAAGGCTTCTTCACAGTTTTGGTTCTCAGAAACATTCCCACAAAAATGAAACCTATTTACAGGGTGTCATCACTTTTCAATGGCATCTGATCTGTCAGCCCAAGCTCCTGAATTTATTCCTCCTGGCTGCATCTTTGCTGAGCTCACAACAGATTTCCCCGTGGATCGTGTCTTCTAATCAAGGAGACAGGAATAAGCTGAAATTTGAGTTCTATTTGGAGGAATTCTGCAGCAAGATTGGTGTGCTTTCATTCTGAGTTGAAACACAGTATCTGTGTACTGACTGCTTGAGGACGCTTCCTTCTGATCCAAGATCCTCAAGCGCTTTGCTCTGTTCACACTCATCTTCTAGTTCCCCTTCCCCCTCTGACTCTGAAGCACCACAGAGTTCCATTCTCCCTAAACACTACCAGCCCCATACTGATCCTCCTGTCCCTTCAGCTTTCCCCTGACAGGCGCTCTTGGCAGAAAGCTCCTGCAGAGGGCCTGAGGGAATGCGCTCTCCCCTGCCCTGGCCAACCTGCTATCCTACTGCCCTCCCACCCAGTGTGGAGGAACTGTCCCAAGAAACCAGTGGTGACACCTCATCACTTCAGCTTCAGAAAGTGGTTAGAGAATGTACCCATGCAATTGAATGTACCTCATTCCTCACTGGCATAGTAGATATAAACTATTCTTTTGTCTGCCTTTTACTGCCTTACCCTAGAAATATTGGGGAAAATAAGCCATATCACTGAGATTTACCTAAAAACAAAGGAATGAAAGTCACTGTGAAAACCAAGTTGACTAGTTTCATTTTAAGCGTGTGGAGCATAGTTGGCCTAGAAGTCAGGCCAGGTGAGCTCCAGTGTGTACCCTGCTGGTGGGCAGATTCGGGACCTTGGGTCTTGGCTTTCTTATCTGATGAGCAAATCAAGACCTCCAAAATCCTCCTCACTCTCAACACCATGGAAATTGGAGAAGGGAGGTTCTTCCGGATGGTTTCTTTCCTTTTCCAATTTCTAGCTCAATTACAAAAAGTATAGCCCATTTGCAATTAAGGAATATATATTTGATATGGATTCAAAGTAAGAATTAGATGCAGTACTAGTGAACTACTCAGAGGAAGGAGTGTGCCTTTGGAGAAGGACGGGAACAGTGCTGAAAATACTAGAAATTATTGGAAATAATTGGGGTGGGAGGTGATGTTCTAAAGCAATTATACTGGCTTCAGGGAAAAGGAAACAAGAATATCACTACAGAACATGTTAACGAGAGACAGGAAGCAGATGAAAAGAATAAAAACATAATCATGACAGTCTCAGCATGTTACCTGCTTGGCACTGTCTACAGACAGCTGTTGTGAATTTCTGCTCTCCGGCCAGTCTCGTGCTTGCTGTTAGCACCTCGGCACCTCTGTTACCACACCTGGGGGAGCACGCTGAAAGGTGAACACTCAGCCCTCTGTAGCTCAAGGGGATGCAAGGGGTTTCTCCACATAGGGCAAGACAAGCAGGCAGGGTGCTAGACAGGCTCACAGAAGCTGGGGTCCAGATCAGAATGCTTTGGGGGTACTGACATTGGCCAAATGTAGCTTACATCCACAGCCATCTGGCCATTCCCGGGCAAAGGGGTGTCTGATCCTCGGCTCCTTAATCGATTGCCTTACCCAGCCAAGCACCACTCCAGAAGTTGAAGGAAGGGTGAACACTCGGTGCTGATAGAACGGGCCTCAGAGTGCTTCTGGTTCAAAGGCAGAGCTTTAAGGACTCAAAGCATCTTGCCCCTAGTGATGCAAGCAGCTAAGCTCATTCCACATGAAACTGACAGAGCTACTCAATGCATCTCAAGATTCCATCTGTAAACCTTGATTGTGAGGGATTTACCCCTGATTTTCTTTTCAGTCTTTTTCCTTATATTGTCCAGATGTCCAAATCGAGTACAGACCTGATGGAAGTAACTTTCACACCTCTCCGCGCAAGGGGAGACATTCCGGTAGAGGAGAACACGCCCACACTGTGGGGGTCTTAGTTATAAATCTCTCCCCCTTAGGGACCGGAAGGGGTGGGTGCACGCACCATGCGCTCTTACGTACCTGTGCGCGCGTGTGTATAAACCTTCAAGTGTACTTCGCGCTTCAACTTAAACGTGCAGTTTTTCCAGCAACAGTGAAAATAGGAAGCGATTTCCTTCTTTACGATTCTGCTCAAAACATTGCGCGCCACCTCAGAGCTTCGCTAGTCCAGTAAGCTTCAGTCCCCGATGACATGCTCGACGTGTTCACGCTCAGCCCTGCGACGCCTCTCACTTGGTCCCCAAGGGACACCCCCTGAGCCTGCAGCACAACCGTCGGGAGGACCTCCAGGCCCGGCCCTGCTCCGGCAACGCTGTTCTCCACCCCACTGCTCCTTGCAAACAGGTGTACAAGCCTTGGCCCCCCGACACTGCCCCGCACCCCAACTCAGCCTCCGCGGGATTGCTGAGCGCCCTCAAAGCATGTCATGTCAATGATACATTTTTACTCTGTGGAACTCTAACCTATCCGTGTCATATTGACCTTTTGCTGCATGAGTCCTAAATTATAAAGTCGGTCTTACGGTTTTTTTGAAATGTAGCCAATGTTTGTAAGGCTAAACCTTTTTTCATAAATTCAAGTGACTAACCAAGTCGCTGCGCTCCTCGAAAGGAGAGTAAGGATAGACAGTTGAACCTCTCTGCCCGCTCCAACGGCCATAGCACCTGGTTCTAAAATAAGCTCGTAATTTTTCCTGTTATTTTAATAATATGGAAATATTAGCATAGTGTTCCTTTTGATAGTGATAGATGGTAATCCATATTTAAATTTTATAGAGAAATTTTATTGTACTGTGATGTAGATATTTATTATCCAGCTAAGGATTTGCCCAGTGTGTATTTTTTACAATTGAAATATTTTACTTTAATCTTTAAAAAAAATTGCTTTAAACCTTCCCCAAAAAAAAACAGACTAGTGGGAAAAAAAGGTTTGGCCTTATCACAGAATTTTTACTGTGCTGTATAAATGTTTGCAAATGCAAAACCTGTGCATTTCTAGTGTGTTTCCACATTAACTAATGCCGCCTTCAAGAGCAATATCGTGCAGGTAAAAAATGCTGTTTGTGGCTTTCTGTTGCACAGTTTAAAGCTGACCCACCTTATGCACAAGACAATCAAATCTCAGTCTGTTCTCCTCAGGATACAGAGCGTCCTCGTGTAAATGCTGGAGCACACTGTGGGAGAGAAAAAGACATTTCACACGTGCATTGACGCAGGAATGATCAGGGCATGAAAGCTGACGTGACTGTACACTGTTTCTTTCTTTCAACTCTTCCTCACAGACTTGGCTTCTTTAGTTTGGTCAGAGCCAGATTAGTTCTCCATGCTTCTTTTCTTTCTTTCTATACTGTTCTCATGCCCTGAGGATCAGGAAAAAAAAATGCTACAGAAAAGAAGATTTACACTCATTGGAAGATTTATGTTTTGCAAACAGTGTTAAGTGATATTGCTAGATTGGTAATATTTTTCAGCCTAAAACTCTGTTGAAATCTGTGATCAAAATGTTTTAAACTATTCAAAAAGAAAATTTGTATATTTGGGAAAAATGAATTTTTACATAGCTTTTGTATGCAGATATCAAATTGTAATTATGAATATAGTGGGCGTAGATAAACTCATAAGCTTAAATTCTATAAAAGAAGAAAAAAAGAAAAGCTTATAATGGATGTACTTTCCTGTCTCTTTCTTTAAATATTATTACTTTCTGAACGGCACAGAGTTTCCTGCTCTTGTCAGCTTTGCCACTGCAGGGTGAGGCAAGGCCCCAGGGACCACATATTTCCTAAACATCCACCAGAGCGTGCGCATTTATGTGGGAGGGGAGGGAAGGAGGGAAAGGCTTATGAGGGTCACCTCTTTGGGAAGGGGCTACAGAGATGGAAGGAGGAGAGGTTTTTGCAACTCAAAGAACATAGTCATTTTCTCACCTCAAAATGTTCCATAATGTTATTAATGGATTTACATGGGCAGCAGCTACCAAAATTTATCTCAATCCCCACTGTTGTTAATATATGTCAGTTAGGACTCTTCCTGTGATGAGGGACAAAAAGCTAAGTCTAACTGACTAAGCAGAAAGGGAGTTTTATTTTTAATACCTGGAAAATGTGAGGCCAGGACTCCTCGCGCATGGCTGTGTCTGCATACTCTGTGCCAGAAATTTCCTCATCTTGCCTTTACTTCACAAAAACTCCATGTTCCAATAGCCTTTTACCTTCCAGGGACCACCAGTAGCTCCAAGATTAGCATTATAGCTCCGAATATAATGGAAAGACAGTTTCTCTCCTTCCCCGCCCCAAGATTCCAATGAAAACCCTGGGACAGATTCTTACGGTGGACCCAAACTGAGCCAGGCCCATCCGTGTGTCGCAAAGAGGGGTGGGGAACTGATGTGCTGGCGAGCTGATTCCTGGGACTGGGTGACTGGAAAGATGGGTCAGCAGGCCCACCTAAAATAAGCACTGAGAGCTACAGCAGGATGATTCCTCAAAGAAAAGTCTAAGTCTTGCTAGGAAGTGGGGGAATAATGGAAGGCAATGAAAGCAAGAAGTGGTCACACAGCTGTGGCGGTGACACAGAAGAAGCTCACTTTGAGTTGGGTAGGACATGAGCCAAATAAACACTGACTGAAGGAAGTGCTTGAAACCCATCCTTGTAGTACAACTTCTACATTTTTTTGTATTCTGTACCTCCCAAGTCCACCCCAATGAACACATTTACCTTCCCCTTCCCAAGTCAGTTAACTCCTCTTACCAGGGGAGTTGTTCATGTGTATTACAGGCAAAGCCAGCCCCAACTACTAGGCTATCTGTTGGCTTTCTTTGGATAATGGGGCTCAGGTCACCAAACTGAATAATTCCAGGAATCTACACAGATGAACTAGAGGACAATATTGGTTTGCTCCCTCGCCTTCAAGATGACAGTCATCCTGGTTTTATACATAGCTTTTCAGGGCACTTTAGCTTTATAAGTGAATAAAATTATCATTAGTTTAATCAACAGGCACAAGTTCTGTTGCTCAATACAAAGAAAAACAATATATTAAAAGGCAGGGTGTTGGGCAGGCAAGATAGCTCGGCAAACTGAGCACCTGCTTAGGCAAGTGCAGGGACCAAAGTTCAATGCCCGCCACCACAGGCTGCACTGACCATGCCCCAGGCATGCTGAGCTGGCCACTGAGACGGGGATGGTGGCTCACACCTGTAATCTCAGTACTGGGGAGGCTAAAACAGGAGGATCACTACAACCCTGAGCTGCACAGTAAGACCCTATACCAAATACATAATTTTTAAAAGTTAAAATGCGGGGTGTTGCAAATCTCAAATCCACAGACTCTGTGATGAAAATGTGCATGTGATAGTCTCTAAGGACAGAGCTCGCGAACATCAGATGCTAATGAACTAATAAAGGAAGTGTATCTGTAAAATACAAACTGGAAGCTAAATGAAAATGAGAAGAGTGGGCCTTAGGCTGGGTTCCGCTGAAAGCAGAGCCCCAAAGAAGCAGGCATGGAAGCCAAAGGCAGCAAGGAAGAGGAAGAGAGAAAGCATAAGATGCATTGCATAATTCCCCACTTAGTACCAAGCATAAAAGTGAATACTCAGTTGTGCAAGGCTCTGTCCCGACACCCTGTATGAACGATTGCTTCTCAGCATGGTCAACCCCATTATCAACACCCAGATGACTCTGCTCTGCTTCGAGTGTGCATACTTGGCCACAAGTCAGGCCTCGCAGAGCTCATAATTGAGAAGTAAAAGCAATCTCGTGAGTGGTGGAAGCTGGTTTTGACTCCTCTAAAAAGGTGGCAGGCCAAATGGCAATCGGGGAGAAGCCAGCAGTCCTCAGGCCTCATGAGATACATGAAATTTCAAAAATCTACAGTGAGCCAAAACAAGGACTCCTCAGACCAATGAGTCCCCCCCCCAATATCTGGAGAAAGGGCATGTGGTCTCAAGTGCCAAAATAATTACACAGCTGGGGAGATAGCTCAGCAGCATAAGCACCTGCCTGGCAAGAGCAAGGTCCCAAGTTCAATGCCCAGTACTGAAAAAAAAATTCATAAACTTAAAAGCATCACCATCATCCTCGTCACCATCATCATCGTCACCATCATCACCATCACCATCATCAATCATCATCACACAGCTCAGTAACTAGCCTATGTTCATGGATCAGTCCATACAGGGCTTTTTAATTTAATGCAAACTGACCCTGTCACTTGATTGTTCTGTCAGTTACATTTTCTTGTAGTAGCGCTGAAAAATTGGGTTCCTATAAACTAATTACACATTAGCAGTGTTTCTTATAGGTAGCTCATTTCAAGGGCAAAATTTTTCCAGGTAAATATATACAGTGTCAAAATTTTTATTAAAACTAATGGACTTCTTATTTTTCCATACAAAACTTGGTGCAAAGATTGTCAATATAAAAAGTAACATAAGATATCTTTCAGGATAGACTGATGATGGCCTCTTTATTTTTAACTTTCTTGTACACAACACCAAAGGCAGTAGAGGATGGAGATACATGCAGAATAAATCACATTCAAATTGACAAATCAAAAAATTCCTGTGGCCATAAATAAATTCACAGATATGAACACTCCTCCGTTTTACCATGAGGGCTAGAAAGAAGCCAAGTCCTTATTCCTGGCAGATATAAAAGTACGTTCATTCTAACTTTTCCAGTGGGCAGTTTTAGTCCTCGAGACCTTCTTTAGGACTTCTTTCCACTATTGAAAATCAAAGGCAACCAGAACATTTGTGAAAGTGAACTATATCAAAAGACAAAGAATATGAGGTCACCAAAGAGCATGCATTGGCATTGCAGTCAGGGCTTACAAGGGAATAGATTTAATACATGACACATAATTTATAGAACTGTTTTACAATATTCACCCTAAAAGTCAAATGCAGGAGAACTGTTCAGGCACTAGAGACCCAAAGCATCCAGCTGAGGACCTAGAGTCCATGGCAATGGCCTCTATGAGTCCAACTGGAGGCCTGGAGCTCACAATGTGTCATGCAAGTCTTCTTCAAGGATCTGCACTGGAAAGGCCCAAAGGTCAGTGCAGAAACTGGAAAGTCTGTGCCAGTAGGATGAAGGATCTGTGCCAGCAGGCTGAGGCATCTGCACTGGATCCAGGAAGCAACACTCAAGGTAAGCACCAGAGCTCCCCCAAAGAGAACTGCAGCCGTGTCAGTGACAGCAAGGACCCAAACTCCTCTGAGAAAGCGAGCAGCTGAGTTCATATCAGAAAAAAACAACAGGACCAGCTTCTCCAGGAGGATCAACAGCGCATCATCTTCCCCTCCAATTTTCCTTTTGTGCTGTTGGCAACAATCTTCAGGTGGGCCTTCCACATTCAAAACCACTTTTCTCTCATTGCTGGGACAAAATACCCAAAACTCAAAGTTAAAGGAGGAAAAGTTTACTTAGCTCACAGTTTGTAGATGTCTTAGTCTGTAATTGGCTGGCTCCAAGAGAGGGTGGCACATGGCAGAGGGGCAACAATTTATGGTAGCAGAAGATAGCAAAAGCAACAAGAAAGGAGAGAAAGGGAGAAGGAATGAGGAGGGGGAAAGGAGAGGGAGGGGGAGAGAGAGCTTTTTCTTTCCGTCCTTTATCTTCACACCTTTAATCCTAGCACTCAACTCTAAATCAATCACAAAATCTAGAAGCCCACCCATATGACTGCATACATGAGGCTTTGGGGGGACATCTTTAACAACTGGTAAGTGAACTTTCACGTGAGAATCCAGTTGAACTTTTTTTTTTTTTGGTATTTTTAGGGAAGGGTCTACAGGGTGTTCAGGGTCTCACTACTAGATGGAACTCACAGTGATCTGCCTGTTTACAGCTTCCCAAGGGCTGGGATTACAGGCACACAGCACCACACCTAGTCTCAATCACCATCTCAGTGCACCCCAGGGGTGGAGCCGACACGGCAGGGGTCCTTCACTACTGTATTGGAGTAAGTAAAAATAGCACATCATCTACTGAACACATACTCCAGGAACCAGGAATCATGCAAGACCCTTTCAATTACCGTAACCCTCCAAACAAACTAGAAAATAATATTTCTATAGATATTTGACAACAGGACAATCAAAGCACAGGGTAGATATGCAGCTTTTCTGGGATCAAACTGTTGACAGCATTAGAATCCATGGGGTTTCAAGACCCACATCCACGGCAAGACATCTTAGTGGGCTAAAGCACCTGCTTAGGGACAAAGCGCAGGGACTGTGGTTTAAGCAAAGCGCAGGGACCATGGTTCAAGCCTGGGCACCACATGCCACACCAGCCCCAAGGAAGGCTAAGCTGGCTACAAAAAAAAAAAGCAACTTCCTATTTAGACTGGGCGTGGTGGCACACACATGTAATCCCAGTGCTGGGAGGCTGAAAACAGGAGAAGCACTACGAGTCTGATCTACATAATAAGACTCTATAGGCCCTGCACTAAACACATTTTTAAAAATCTACATCATGTTCTTTTTACAATCTGTACTAGTAAGATCCAGGTAAAACCTTATCCCCTGAAAGACCAATGGAAATGCTGCTTTGAAATGTTTGTCACTGTCCTTCCTGAAAGGCCTATCTACCCTCATGTAAAAAACACACACCTTCTAAAGATAAGATATCTCTCCTCTCACTAGGTTGTTTTTAT